AGGAGCCCTGGTGGGTTTGAACCGCCGACCTTTCTACCAGCAATCCTTGACTCAGCAGCAGCCTCAGGGTTCCTTTGGAAATCCCTCGGCCTGCATCATCAGGCCACACACCTTATCCCCTTCCTCCTCGACAGCAAAACTTTGAGCCAGTGCTCTCATGCCACTCTCTGATAGACGCGTCAGCAGGCTGGCTCCAGACGTACATTGAGGGGCAGAGAGGGTATTTGGGCCCCACAGGGTCACCCTGTTAGTCAGACCGGGGGTTCTCTGGGAGGGGGAGGATTATGAGGAATGGGGCCTATTCCTGGGATACGCTGTCAGACCATCCTCCCCAGCTGGTCCAAGACTCAGGCCCCTAGTCTACCTGCCCTTCCCTAACTCCCTTGGGGGCAAGGAAGGATTTTCAAGGGGCAAAGCCTACACCCACCCACCAGCCAGGCAGGTGCCCACACTTTTGTATCTGAGCGTGAGATGTGTATTCAAGGTAGGCATATGCATGTATGGAAGCATGTTTGGGACCTGCAACAAACAGGTCCCAGCCCTTCTGAAATTCTCAGTCCAGGGCAAGCAGAAAGGTGCAATCACATAACTTCCCTTCACCCTCCACGGGCCAAGCAGGCAAACCAGGGTGGGAGATGGTGTGCCCCTGAAGGTGGCTGCTCTTGACAGGGTAGCCAGGAGAGGCCGCTGAGGAGGTCAACTGACTGCTGAGGCCGGCCTGGTAAGAAGGTGCTCCGGCAGGCAGCAGGGAACTGAGGACAATGGTTCAAACTGGTCGTTTGAACCAGAGTTCTGGGAAATGTGGTCAGGACAGTATCCCATGCCCCCAGAAGATCTTGGATAGCCTTTGTGGTTTGACAGGACCTGCAAGCTCTAATCCAGCGGTTCTCAACCTGTGGGTCATGACCCCTTTGGGGGTCGAACGACCCTTTCACAGGGGTCGCCCGATTCATAACAGTCGCAAAATGACAGTGATAAAGTAGCAATGAAAATAATTTTATGGTTGGGGGTCACCACAACATGAGGAACTGTATGAAAGGGTCGCGGCATTAGGAATGTTGAGAACCACTTCTCTGAGACTTACCATAAATCCTTGGTGCTGGGCAGAAACTCCATTTTACACAAGAGGGGACTGAGGACAGAGAGGTTGTGTGGCCTCTTCGAGGTCTCCCAGCCTGTATGTGGTGAAGTGGAGTGTTGGGCCCAAGCCTGGCTCTGCTGGTTGTTCCCAAAGGCACCTCAAGCTCGTCAGACGCCCTGCCTGCCTCAGATGGGAAGGTCTTGGGTCCTGGGATGGGTAGGTTAGCTGCATCTCCAACTGCACTCTCCAGGGCCCCAGGCCGGAGCTGCCCAGGGGAGAAGGTGCTGAAAGTTTTACAGGGCATCTTGATTGCCAGCGATAGTGAAGGATCCAATTGCCCCTGGTAACTGCCTCTCTCTCTCCAGGTGGCCCAGGGCCAGCCTGGCTCCCCAGCTAGCCACCACCCAACTGCACTTGCTTGGGTTTTCCCTCTGCAGTGGCATGATTCGCCAGTTTCCACTGGCCTTTGCCTGTGCCCACGCCACTCGCTGGAGACAAGTGTCCTGGCCTCTGGCCTGCCTCAGCCTGCCCCAGCCTGGGAACCAAGTGAGAGGGAGACTGATAGTGAGCACCACCGCGCCCCCCACCCCCCACCCCACTCCCCAGACGGCCCCCCGCCAGAGGCTTGGCTGATCTTTCCAGGCGTGCTTGTCATTGCCAGGTGCCATCAAGGCAACTCTGTGATTCATGGCGGTCCCAGGTGTAACAGAATGAAGCACTGCTCCGTCCCACCCCACCCTCACAGTCCCTGCAACCACGGTGTCTACCCATCTTCTTAAGGGGCTGCCTCTTTTCCACTGGCCCTCTGCTTTCCCAAGCACGACGGTCCTTCTCACGGCTGATCACACGTCCACATCGACAGGAGTCTTGCCACCCTCGATTCTGGCTGGACTGCATCTGAGAGAGAGGTGCTCCTTCCCCTGGCGGGCCTCGGGATATCCAATATTCCCCACCAGCATCATAACTCACAGGCCCCGATTCTCCTCTGGTCTTCCTCACCCATCGTCCAATCTGCACTTGCGTATGAGATGACTGGGCTCGGGCCAGGCGCACCTCAGTCCTTAAAGAGGACGGAACCTGCCCCTCAGCCTTCCGCAGCAGGTATGCCCAGTGTAAGGTATCCTGCGCTCGCGTGGCCTGTGGCCCCAAGTAAGATGGACTCCTGGGCAACTGCCGTCGTTTCTCACCTCATCGCAACGTTTCTGGGTCCCCCTGTGAGGGGTTTCTGCTTTCTTTATATTGAGGCGTCATCCATGCTGAAGGCCGTTGTGTTTTCTTCTTTGCTTCTTTTTAATTAAATTTATTGGGGGCTCTTAATAGCAATCCACACATCAAGGGTCTCAAGCATAGCTTGCCATCATTGTTTTCTAGACATTTACTTTCGGTTTGAGTCCTTGGTATCAGCTCCTCGTTTTTCCCTCCCTCCCTCCCCACCTGCCACCATCGTGTCCCCTTGATTAATTACAAATTATTATTAATTTTATATCTTATGCCCCTTCCCCCTACCCTCCTGGTATCGATTCTCCCATTTCTGTTTCTGAGGGGTTTGTCTGACCTGGATTCCGTGTGTCTTGAGCTGTTTTCTGTACCAGTGTACCT